CGGTAGGCCCGGCCCTGGAGCCTCAGGGGCCTGGCTTCTCGGGCTGGGGGCCATCCCCATCCTGGAAGATGCCCCACGGAGCCCTCTGCTCCACCAGGCTGATGTCTGGTGTTCCCGGGGTCCCCTTGGTCCTGCCCAGACCAGACCCCTGGAGGGGGTTCCCACAGCTGCACGCCGCTCGTTAGTGGGGGGCGGGAGGCTCGCCGAGGGGCGCTCCTGGGGCTCGGATCAGTGGTGGTCGTCTCTGGGGAAGATGCTCCCCAAAAGCCGGCCGCGTGTGTCGGCCGTGTGCGGGACGTGAGGACGCCATCTCACGCCAATCTCTTGGGCTCTTGGTTCCTGTTACGGATGGGGAAGAACCGCCGTGGACCTGCCTCCAGAACCCCCCACCGAGTCGGGCTCCGTGGCCCAAGTGGGTGTGGGCTCTGCCGAAGGGGCCGCGTGGAATCCGCAGCCGGGAGCAGGACACAGGGGCACGGGTTCTCGCCCCAGCCCTGCGGGGTCCGCGCTGGGGGAAGTGAGCAGGTCAGCCCCCGCCCTTCCCTGCTTGGGGCTCTGGACGCTGCCACTGCTCTGGGTGGCCCCCAGCCCCCATTCCAGCGGGCAGTCACTTTTTAAAGGCGCTGGTGGCCAAGCCTTCTGGAAAGAGAATGAGCAGCCCCGCGGGTCCCCGTTTCTGAAGTCTACATGCTCTCAGAGTGAGGGCTGAGCCGGGACCTCCTCAGACCAAGGACTGTCCCCACAGCAGGAGGAAGGAGCTGGGCCTGCTACCAGCTGGCTTTCTTCTGGGGGCCCCAGAAGACCCAGCCCTGGACGGACAGCTGATGGGGGACGGGAGCCCTCAGGCTCCAGCCCCACCAGCCGAGGAGCCCCCCACCTCTCCCTGTAAAGGTGGGCCACCCCCCTGGGGCAGGCAGGGCCGGGCTTCCCTTCCGTTCTCCTGACTCACGTGGGGGGTGGTGGAGAACAGGGCCAGGAGCACTGACTGCATGGGACGGGGCTCCAGGGTCTAGGGGACCCCACTTCCTGCCCAGGTGACGTGGGGTGGGCTTGGCACACTGTATGTCATTGCCATCGTCAGTCAGTCACCTAGGGGAGGGCTGCGTGAGCCCCTGAGGCTCTGTGTGCATCCGGCTCCAGGCTGGACCCTAGGGCAGTGTCCTCCCAGGGGCCCGCTGTCTTAGGGGTGGAGAATGACATTGTTTCAGGGTATCTGATGGGTGAAGGGTGAGGTCTAGGCTGTGGTAGGGTATGGAGGCCTCGCAGTCTTGGCCGAGGGTGGACGAGCGGCTGCCGGGGCTGGCCAAGGACAGGAGGGCTGAGCGTAGGACTCACCTGGAATTTCTTCTTGGCCACAAAATACTGCATACGCCGGATGACCTTGATGGTGGCCCGATGGTGCTCCCGCAGCCTGTGGCAGAAAATGGAGAAGAGGCATGAGTGGCCCCCCTGGGACGGTCATCCTGCGTCCGGCACTCTCAGCGTCTCGGCGTCTTCCCAAGTGCCTCCTGCGTGCAGGCTGGGCCCTTCCAGAAACGCGGAGGATGTTCACCCCACGGGATGGAGGTCTTCGAGACTCCATCCTGGCAGGGGAAGGGGGCAGGCCAGAGGCAAGAAGCTTTTAGCCAGCAGGATGAGCCCAGAGGGACCCTTGCCTCGTCTGTTGCTTGGAAATGGTGCGGGAGTCAGAGTCCTGGGTTCATACAGGCTGTGCCCCTAACTCAGCAGAACCACAGAAGCTTCTTTCCACCCTTGGGCCTTCAGGCTCCTCACCAGTATAATGGGGAAGGAGTACAGCGGGTGCCTGAAGCCCCTCTCCGCTGGAACGTTCCCTGTTGCCACACATGCGCGTGTGCTCGGAAAATGTAAGGGCTACGGGAGGAACAAGCCAGAGGCAGTCACTGCCTGAGCCACTGTGTCAGGAGATTGTATTGTCTCCCCTGTCAAGTCCCTTCTAGAAACAAAGATCCTTCCAGAAACATGGCTGATGGTGTGCACAGAAAGACGTCTAGAAGGAAATACACCTGCACGGAAGCCGTGCGGCTTCGGCCACGCAGCCCGCGTGTGACCCGACCTCTGCCAAGAACCCCCACGAGATGAAGGAACAAACCAGCACAGTGGTGTGATGGCTGTGGGGTGACACAGTGATGTGAAGGGTTGAGATCCCGGAAAAGAGACCGACCACACGGGCCGTGTGTGTGGCCGCACGTCTCCTCCTTTGAGCACTGATGCATTTGTCGTGTAGCACACAGAGTCAGGCTCGTTGGGCTGGGGAGACAGACAGGGGAGTCCAGGGCCACAAAGACATCCAGGACTTGGGGGGATGGGAGCTCCTGAGCCGTGAGCCCCCTTTCACAGAATGTCCCCTTGAAGCATTTGTGGATTAAGCTGCACAGGCGTGGGGTAAGATTCTAGGAGGGTAAAAAGCTAAGCAGACAACTTGCAGGCTTATGTCACTGCGGAGAGGAGCACTGGGGTTCAGGGTCTACCCAGGAGATGGGACCCTGGGACTCCCCAAGCTTTCAGTCGAGACCCCTATGGCCTCAAATCGTTTCAGTCTCCACCCGGAGCAAAGCGCCCTGCCCTGTGCCCTTTCCACGCTGGAGGAAGACCAGATCATCTGCGGGGAGATAGCAGGGAGCCTGTACATGGTTTTTTATGCTCAAAAGACCAACAACCAAGGGAGAAAACAGACCACAGAAACAGATCTAAGGATGTGACGCAGGCGATGTGCTGCGTACTTGTAGCTGCTCCATCAAGAGACGGCTCTGCTCTTCCCGCTCTGCGAGTTTGGGGGAACCTGACGCCTGTTCCGACAAAAAGAATGTTGGGAAGCCAGCATTCCTGGAACGCGGCCGCGTGAACCCGTCTGAGCCGGCTGGCCGGGGCAGCCACACGGAGGAGAGCGGGGACCCCCAGTCAAGAGCCAGCATCAAGCGACACACACACACACGAGCGAGGCCGCCCCTGACCATCCAGCCGCGGTTAAGCCGCCAGATGGCCGCACCTGCACGAACACGCACACGAAGCCAGCAGAACGACCGCCCAGCCGAGCTGACCCCAAATTGCTGAGCCACAGAATCGTGAGCAAGAAAACGGGTTGTGGTCTTTTTAAATTTTTTATTTTTACTTATTTTATTTTCTATTTTGAGAGAGAGAGAGAGAGAGAGCGAGCATGTGCACGCACAAGCGGGGTCCGGGGGTGGAGGGAGAGGGAGAGAGAGAACCCAAAGCAGGCTCCACACGCAGTGCGGAGCCCCACGCGGGGCTGGACCCCACGACCCTGGGATCGTGACCCGAGCCGAAATCAAGAGTCAGACGCTCTGCCGAGTGAGCCACGCAGGTGCCCCGAGACCCTCAAACACACGGTGCTGGTTTGGGGACCGGGCATTGGACAAAGGCAGGAAACAAGGGCGGATGCTGTCACTCATCACACGAGACTCTCACGCGTCCTGTAGGGGTGAGTGAACCTTGTGCTGGGACTTACGGCCTGTTGCGGACTGAAGACGGGTCAAGATCTGTAGTTCTCCCAAGCAAGAGGTGAGGCCCCCGTGGTGGGAGAGGGCCGTGAGTCTGAGCCGTGATCTCAAGACCTCACAGCTCCCACCGTCATCCTGTCGGAACACTGCTGCCCCACGGATGTGTCTGAGCGAGGCTGCTGCCGGGCTGCCGGCCGGGCAGCTCCAGACACGTGTGGCCGGAGGAGACCACCCAGTCCTGCCCAGCCGAGCCTAAGGAAGACCACCGGACGAGCAGCCCAAATGCTGACCCACGGACGCGTGAGCAAACAGACAGCTATGGTTTGCTTCAGAGCTTTTAGATGAGGACTTTAACCACGGCAGGGGCACCTGGGTGGCTCAGTCGGTTAGATGTCCGACGCTTGATCTCACCACTGGTGGGATCGAACCCCGAGGCAGGCTCTGCGCTGACAGGAAGGAGCCTGTGTGGGATTCTCTCTCTCTCTGCCCCTCCGCTGCTTGCCCACACGTGCACGCACTCTGCCTCTCTCTCAAGATAAATAAATAAGCTTAAAAAAAATAAAGATCATGGGTGCAAGAAGATAGAAGGAGAATTTCACCAGAGAAATGACATCTGCGGTGACAATAATAAAATGGAAATTCTAGAACAGAAAAGACAAGGATGGAAGGTAAGAAGGCAGATGAATTTGATGGCAGAGTGGGCACGCAAGAACTGGAAGGGCACAGGCAGGTGGGAGCACGGAGACACAGCAGCATTAAACACACACAAAAAGGTAAGATGAGGGACCTCTGGTTAAAAGTTCGTGTATGTGTGGAATCCCAGAAGGAGAGGGGACGAGTGGAGACTCGGTGGCTGGGAATTTTCCAGAAATCATGGAACACATCAGGCCGCAGACTCAAACAGCTCTTTAGATCCTTGGGCTTATGACAGTAATGCCGCTGAGCAACAGGGAAGGTCACAGCAGCAGTGGAGGAGGGGATGGCACATTATCCTGATGACTGGATGAAAGTCGGGTGACATCTTTAAAGTGCACAGGGAAGCATTCGAGACCCATCAAATATACCCTGAAATATGAAGATGAAAGTTGGGGCGCCTGAGTGTTAAGCGTCCAATTTCAGCTCAGGTCATGATCTCGCAGCTCGTGAGTTGGAGCCC